ACCAATAGGGAAATGAGAAATTTGAATAAATTACATTGTTTCAGGCCACAAGAACTTTACAACAACGGAATTCCAAATTAGACATAACGAAAGTTGAACGCATTGAAGTGGCAGATGATAACAACAGACAACAACAAAGTAGCTTTCGTGATGTTGTAAAAACAACAATGGTATGAGCTTTAGTTTATTTTAGTTTTATTGTTGTTATAGTGAAGAGCATAACTATGTGTAAAGTTTTTTTCCTCTTAAATATATGATTTGATATAAGCCAGTGTTCCCCTTGCCTCATTCAGTTCTTTTCACACTTTCCCCCATCATTCCGCTATTCGTCCGCTCATTCAATGAAGCTTCAACGAACAATTTCAAAATCTAATTTTGTTGTTCTGGATGTCGATGAATTGAAAATATCACTATTAGATAAGAAGTAAACTATATGTATTTAACTATATAGAATATGAAAATTGAGTCCGTTTACAAACAGATATTGGCTTGATTGTTAGAGATAGATAGAAAGGAAGGAAAGAAGAATAGAGAGGGAGGTGAACGAAGAGGCGAAGAGAGATAAAAAAAAGAATTTAGAGAGAGATAATGATCAAAAGGGCTCTCAGAATGAGAAAAGAGGATGCAAAAGAAGAAACTGATAGGATAATCCAAGGGAACTAATGTGAATGAAAATCTCTCTGTTGCCAGGCCGACCATTCTCTATTAGGCTCAGTCTTCTATCAATATCTCTTCATTTTAAAAATTGATCTGCCATTCATTTTATTTTAGCTGAGAGTTAGAGTTAGAACATCAAATTATTATTATTATTCATATGAGTTAATGTAACAAGGGCATCGTATACAGTTGTTTGTTTTAATTACAGTTGTTACGTACCTGGATGATGCCAGCACATGGCCCAGGCGACCGTCGAACAGATTTAACATCTGAAGTATTCGAACCTCCAGTAAGCATGAATTGTCAGATTAAGCATATTCATATTAATATCAGGCTGCAACAACAGAACAGAATAATGTGATAGAAGAAGAAGTTGAACGGCTATCGGGCTGTCAATTCATTAAGGAAATGATTATACGAGCTGTGATGTAAACCTAACTATGCACACACACAGCCACCAGTAATAAGCTGTTTTCAGGAGAATCAAGTATTTCTATATAGATCCAAATGCTGCTTTTTACTATTATTGGTCTTGTATAGTAGCAATAGGTTGAT